GCCAGAGAGCAGGCTCTCTGGTGGGCTCAACCATGTTGCTTTCTTTCGCCACGGGCGGGTAGCAAGGAGGCGTCGAAACTCCAGAACAATTCGGGGTGTTGGATGGTCTTGTAACGACGCTTCTGGTGCGGTAGAGAGGCGAGCTTGGGCGGCGCGGCTTCTGGCTGCCAGACGATTGCGAAGGACATTGTTGCCGCATCTCATCTGCACTAGCAATGCAGGTTGGCACGATAACATGCGTCGAAGAGTTGGTCTGGATTCCAGCATGGTTCAATACATGATAGACGGCTTGGACGCCGAGACCTGCCCCTTCGATGTTCAGTCTACACGCCGGTCGATGAAAGTAGGTATTTTTGGATTCCCAGGTCCCAATCTATTTCAAGCGCCTTCCTACTTCAAGAATCGGCATGCTTTTGCTGCGTTTTCTTGTATCATCTGGGAGGACCTGGACCCAATCCACTATGTCTCGGGCGAAGAGAACTATGCACATGCACCGATCCTGGCAAGGCCCATCCTTGACCCAGGATCGGTGCATATGCCTTCCTGGCCAAGGTAGGAGGGCGTATGCACCGATCCTGGGCTCAGGATGGGCCTTGCCAGAATCGGTGCATGTGCATAGTTCTTTCTTGTCCGCCTTCCTACTTCATGTTTCTACCCACTTCTTCCGACCGACGTGTACTGGGTTTGGAGTGGAAGGCAGAACCTCTTTCGGGAACGCGGCATCACCGTTCGCCCCTGCCGTCGCGGGCAACGCTGGAGTCCCGTGGCAGGGGCGGGCTCCCGGGTCGAGCTCCTGCCAGCTCGCCCGGAGGATTCCGCGATTGCCCTCGGGGAGCTCGTTGGCAACAGCGGGCCGTCCAACTAGGCAGTTGCAATTTGTTTCGAGTCGTCGCGTGCTTGAAGCAGGGGCGTTAAAAAAACGCCCCTACCCTGGTTTACGATGCGCTGTGCGCTGAAGCTCTTGTGGGCTGACAGGGTACACCCTGCGTGATGTGCGGCGTCCTGGCGGCTCTCTAGGCTTTGGGGGGTTCCACGGAGGTTTACAGACCACACATGTGTAACCCAGGGTAGGGTCGTTTTTTTACCCCTCAATTGAAGCAACTGTGATTGGCACAAGAATGGATTGAGCAATCCAAGCTGCATGTCTACAAGCGACTGCGCGAGTGGACCACGACGACAGCAGCGGCCGTGGCGCATCACAGTTGTGGCTGGCACTTCAGGCCCGGTCTGCCTAGATACTTATGCACTTGGGAGCTGAACGTGTTACGGCAAGCTTTGAGTCCGAGGTGGCATTTCCATGATGTCCCGATGCAGTGTCCCACGAGGTCTTCGTCGAATACCGCAGCCTGTACGGAAAAGGTTGGTTCAAACTTTGCGCGTTCTATAATAATCGTATCGGTCTTGAATTTGGCATCGCTGGAAATTCCGAGCTTCGTTAAATATGAAATGGCTCTTTCGAAATACGCGTCGGGGTTCCGATCAGCCGAGCGGGTCGTATGCCGCGCTCTCCACCGAAGGAAGGGGCGCAGAAGGCTCGGCATGGTTCGCAGCAGCAGCGGCCATGAGTGGGAGTGCCGCTTCGTGGACGCATGGTGCACCCGTTGGCGGTTGCACAGATGTTTTGCGGCGCGGTACCGAATTTGTCGGACTGTGTGTTTTCTTTCCGAAGCAGCTATAGCACCAGTGGGAGTTTCTTGTTTCAGTGTGCAAGCCAGCCTCGGGCTGCGAACGGGCATGCTGACATTCAGCGGTGTATTGCGCTGTTTCCCCTCAGATGTTCTTCTTCTTCTTCTTCTTCTCCTTCCTCTTCCTCTTCTTCTTCTTCTTCTCCCCTTAGGCACTCTGCGGTTCTGCGCTTGAGAGTTAGGCAAGCTTTGGGCCGATTGGGCTTCATCCGCGCGCTCCGCCTTGCCCACTCCAAGGTGGACTCCCCCGCCCTTGCGAGCAGGTGCGAGAGCATCCCAGTGGGAACGAATGTTGGTTTGACTGTGGGGGCGGACCGACAAAGGGACGATGGCCCAATCGTGCACAGGGGAGCAGTTTTGAAGGGGGCATGTGATCGCCCCAGCTTCGTCAGGGCGGAGCCTTTTTCGGACCATTTGGGGGCCGGCGGCATCTTGCGTCGAGTTCGACTTTCGGAGAACTTGTTCTAAGACGCTCGCTATTGCAACGCTGTGGCTGACCACGTTGTGCATAATCATCTGGATCGCAGTGCGGGCTGGCAGCTTATTCGAGAAATCCAAGTTGACACGCTTGCCGGGCGAGTGGCATAATGTCCGTCTGTACGTCGATGGTGATAGGAAGGGGGACGGACGTAGCACAGCATATGTTCCGCATGGCGGGCTAGCCCACTAGATCACGAACGACCCAATAGGGGAAGCAGCCGGCGCGCCGACAACCGATGGAGAGGATGAGCAACGCGTGTGAAACAAACAACACGCTGGAATGCATTTGGCCGTTCGCTGGCTTGACGGGGACTCTTGCCAGTTGTTTGACGAGGCGCTGTTCTTCCCCGTCCTCCCCTGCAGCCCCCTTCCTCTTCTCTCTTCGCCGTCTCCCGTACTGCATGCTGTGTTGGATTTATTGAAGTTGGGCTTGTCAATTCGGGGTGAAAGCACATCTCGTCGGCAGCGGCGAATGCGTATCCTCCGTTTTCTGGTTTGTCTTTCTCTCTTTCGTTTCCGCCTCAGTTCTGTTTGCTCTTGCGTTTCGCAAGGGGACAGGCTTTGTCCGGTCCGCCCAGGCCTGAGGGTAGGAAACATCTAACTTCTGGATGTGCCAATGTGTCCCCGATTTGAGGCCAGGCGAAGGGCGTTACCAATGCATTGTTCGCCCACGCTGACCTCAGCCATTGACGCGTCCGTTGTCGTCGACGCCGTCGCGCGCATGGCATACTAAATATATATATATATATATCTATATATATACACACATACGCGCATACAAATATATCTAGAGAGAGGGGGGGAGAGTTTACGCGACCCATCCCGCGACCCACCCCGCGACCCACCCGCGACCCAACCCGCGACACACCCGCGACCCGCCCCGCTGCCCACCCCGCGACACATCCGCGGCCCATCCGCGACCCACCCGCGACCCACCCTCAAGGGAGGAAAAACCACCCGGACCCGACAATTGACGTTTACTAAACGACCTTGGGCGTTGACTAAACAGCCCTGCCCTGTTCGATTCATTCCTTGTGAGCGTTTACTAAACGGCTTCGCTTGTCGGGGTGAGAATTATGGGGTGGATATTGTGCCCTCTACACCCGCGACCCAACAGCGACCCACCCGCGACCCCTTTGCGACCCACCCACGACCTACCCACATTGGTTTGACGAAGAAATCCGCGCCTGCGGCGGGCTCGTTTTATACTTTGTGTTACTTTGGCGCCTGCGGCGGGCTTCTCCAGAGTCTCGCGAACTGCCGACATCTCCATCTCCACCGACCCCTCACTCTTATCCGCATCTGCGGGGTGCTACGATATATACACGTATACAGATGCAACGCAGCCGCGCGCAAATCTGTCACCCCCCGGGAGTTTTGTCATTTGCGCTTGTTGAACTGTTTGGTTTGGATGTCGGTTTGGGCATCCTTGCGATCATGATGTGCTGAGGGTTGCGGGGCGGAGCGGCCTACAGGCGAACACGGGCACGCAAGAGACGGGGTGATGAAGGTGACAGGGGATCGTTGGAGCAGGAGGGTAAGGGTGCAGGGGGATGAGGAGGAGAACTTCCCACCATGCATCAGCGGTGCAGCACCAGGCAGCACACCCTCCTCTTCTTATAGGGGAACAAAAAATGACATAAACATAGAAACTCGGAGGTCCGCGCGGATTTCTCGGATCGGCGCTGGGGCCCCCCCCGGCGGCGCCTCCAGCGCCGCCCCTGGCGCGCTCCGCGCGCCAGGGAGGGGGGGAAATCCGTGCGGACCTCCGAGTTCCACCCCCACGGGTCCCTGCAGGAGGCGCCCCCCCCCCCCTTGCAGGACGCGCGCCCCACGAGCCCGACCCTCGGGCGAGGGCCCCCCCCCCCGCTCCGAGGAGGAGTCGTCCTGCATCGCCGCAGCGAGTTCCAAGGCATGCGACACAGGGAAATCCACAAGGCTCGGGGCTGTTTCCAGCGAGGGGGGCCCGTTTTGACAAAGATCGGAAGCTGGGCGAGGGCTGCTAAAGCCGTGGCTGCTAAAACGGCCTTCCCGGAAGGAAAAAATAGCTTCCCGGAATGAGGCGCGGCACGCGAAACAGTCGACGGGCTTCTTCCCGGAAGGACGAAGACAACTTCCCGGAGGTCGATTTTAGCAGCCACGGATTTAGCAGCCCTTGCCCGGCTTCCGAAAAGAACCGCCCCCCGTTCGTGCAACCCTGGGCAGCCTCTGCACGTCTCGGGCGAGAGCCCCACTTTGGAAAGGAGCCGCCCTCCATATAGGTGTAGGTGTTACATGTTCCGAGCTCCCCGTCGTCACTCTTGGCCGAGGTTGCAAACGACGCCCCATTCTGAAAAGGAATAGTCTTCCATCTTTGGTTGCAGACTTGAAAGACGCATGTTCGCGACGCTCAGGTGGTAGCCCCATTTTGCAAACGTGCCGCCTCCAAGTGTAACAGCGGCAAGCAGTTGACTAACGTGCGCGACGATACTCCAAGAGTCTCTTTTTGAGGAGGTGCCGCCGTCTATCCCATTATCTGTTAGGAATTTCAATCCAGGTTGAAGCGCCCAGCCCACCTTACCAACACGTTAAAAGAGTAGGCGCAATGGAAGGAGGAGGAGGAGGAGGAAGATGAAAAGGTAGAGGAGTCGGACCGAGGGAAGAGGAGGAGATAACGGGAGGAGGAGGAGGAGGAGGAGGAAGAGGAAGAGGAGGAGGCGGAGGAGGAACAGGAGGAGCAGGAGGAGCAGTAGGAAGGGGGTTGAGGAGGAGAGGGAGGAGGAGTGTGGAAGCGGAGGGGGAGGAGCCTGGAGGAGCCCACAGACTTGGAGGAGAGTACCCTGGCGGAGCCCGCAGGAGTCGGCGCCCTTCGCGGGATCCGCCGCGGGCCACCGGGTGGTCCTGCTGCGCGAGCCAATCTGCGCGCGGGTGCGGCCACCGGCGCTCAGGCACGAGGAGCCCCGCTGCCGCTCCGCCGCCCCTCCGGGAAGACAACCCCGACCTAGACGCCGACCACCACGGAGAGGAGGAGGAGGAGCTGGAGGAAGAAGAGGTGGAGGTTGAGGTGGAGGCGGAGGCGGAGGTTGAGGAGGTTGAGGCGGGTTAGGAGATGGAGGAGGAGGAAAGAGAAGGAGGACGAGGAAGGAGAAGGAGGAGGAGGAGGAGGAGGAGGAGGAGGAGGACCAGTGTAAACCCAAGGCTCATCAACGATGTTGAAATACACCCTCCCTCCAAGATTCCTCCGCATAGGCCCCTACATGGGGTTAATCTCCACTGAGGGAATTGCCTTGGTGGACAATTGTGATTCTCAGGACTTCAAGGCCACGAGTTAGCCTGATTGTTACGTCTTGGTGATCTTGAATCGTGCCGGAAGACCATTCCTCGGACTTCAACACGGCGAATCATCGTTATTGTTGCGCCCAGACATCCCCAATGTTTCCAAAGCGCCTTTCCTGGTACGTAAACAATGACAACCAGTGAAATTCCTGCAACTGCTTAAAACATGCGCGGCGCTCAGGCGAGAGCCACATTTTGGAAGAAAGCCGCCCTCAGTCCTTGAAGCGCGTGCGAATCTTTAAAACGAATGTGCGCGGCGCTCAGGCGAGAGCCACATGTTGAAAACGACACGCACTCACTCCGCGAAAATCTTTTGCAATTTTCCAAAACGACTATGCGCGGCGCTTAGGCGACAGTCACATGTTGAACACCAACCGTCCTCAATCCGCAAAGATATTGCACATCTCCAAAGCGAGTGTGCGCGGCGGCGGCGAGAGCCACATCTTGAAAACGACCTGCGCTCAGTCCGTGAAGCTCTTGCAGTTATTTGAAACGAACGTGCGCGGCGCTACGGCGAGAGTCACATGTTGAAAACCACCCGCCCTCAATCCTTGAAGCTTTTTCGAATGGCTTTGTTTACGAAAAGCGAATCTACGCGGCGCTCAGGCGCGTGCCGCATTTTGAACATGGCCCGCCCTCAATCCGTGAAGCTCGTGTTTTTTGTTGTTGTAAAAAACGAATGTACGCGGGGCTCAGGCACGTGCCACATTTTGAAAATGCCCCGCCTTCAATCCCGTGAAACTGCTTCAAATGTTTAAAACGAATGTGCGTGGCGCTCAAGCGAGAGCAACATTTTGAAAACCACCCGCCCTCAATCAGGGACATTTTTCCGAAGTGTTACAAACGAATGTGCGTGGCAGCCACATGTCGGAAACTACCCGCCTTCGATGTGTGAACTTGTTGTCAGGTTTTAAACATTAGGGTCATACATATTGAAAAGTGGTGAGGGGGTCTCAGGCGAAACGCTCGGCCCGTCCTTTAGACCGACCCCGAGGTGCGACATGAGGAAAAGGAGTGGGAGAGAGGGAGGATGAGGATGAGGAGGAGGAGGAGGCAAATAAGGAGGAGGAAGAGGAAGAGGAGCGGAGGAGGAGGAGGAGGAGGAGGAGGAAGAGAGGAGGAGGAGGAGGATGAGCACAGAGGGGTTCATCCTCGTCGTTCGCCTCATCGTTCCCCCTCCTGTCCTCCTCCTTCCCTCACCTCTCCTGGAGCATCCTGGAGTCTCTCACTGGTCCTTTTGGGTCCCCTACGTACTCTCCAACTGTTCACAATGCTGCTGCCGCTCATCCTCCGCCATCCCCCTGCAGGCTCTTTTCCGCGTTCGCGGGGAGCGAGGAGGGGGAGGAGGAGGAGGAGGAGGAGGAGGAGGAGGAGGAGGAGGAGGAGGAGGAGGAGGAGGAGGAGGAGGAGGGGAGGAGGGAGGAAGGAGAGGAAGTTGGAGGGTGGGGGAAGAGTAGGAGGAGGAGGCGGAGGAGGAGGAGGAGGAGGCGGAGGAGGGAGGAATAGGCAGAATGTGGCGGCCCATCCACCGGTGCTTGCCGCCACCGCTTCAGTGTCAGACGAGCTACACTTTTGCCGTTGATTGAAGGAGGGCTGGAGTACACCCAGGATGCATCAACATATTACAATACGATCCACGAGGAGGAGGAGGAGGTGCCTGAGAGCAGGAGGATGAGGAGTGCAAGGGGGAAAACGAAGTGGAGGGGGAGGAGGGGGAGATCGAGAGGGAGGGGGTGGGAAGGAGAGGAGGAAGGACAGGAGGTGGAGGCGGAAGAGGGCAGGGGGAGGAGGAGAAGGAGAAGGAGAAGGAGGAGGAGGAGGAGGAGGAGGAGGAGGAGCACAGAGGGGCTCATCCTCGGCGTCCGCCTCAGCGTTCCCCCTCCTGTCCTCCTCCTTCCCTCGCCTCTATTGGGGCATCCTGGAGTCTCTCACTGGTCCTTTTGGGTCCCCTACGTACTCTCCAACTGTTCACACTGCTGCTGCCCCTCATCCTCCGCCATTCCCCTGCAGGCTCTTTCCTTTTCCGCGTGCGCGGGGGGCGAGGAGAGGGGGAGGTAAAGGGAGGAGGAGGAGGGGGAGGAGGCGGAGTAGGAGTAGGAGGAGGAGGAGGAGGAGGAGGAGGAGGAGGAGGAGGAGGAGGAGGAGGAGGGGGAGGGAAGGCGGGAGGTAGGAGAGGAAGTTGGAAAGGGGGGAAACGAGTAGGAGGAGGAGGAGAAGGAGGAGGAATAGGATGATGATGGTGCTGATGATGATGGTTAATGGTGATGATGATGCTGATGATGAGGGTGGTGATGATGATGATGATGATGATGATGGTGTTGATGAGGATGATGATGATGATGATGATGATGATGCTGATGATGATGATGGTGATGCTGCTAATAATGATGAAGATGATGATGGTGACGAACATAATGCTGAGGCTGATGATAATGATGATGATGACGATGATGATGATGATGATGCTGATGCTGATGATGATGATGATGATATGATGATGATGATGATGCTGATGCTGATGATGATGATGATGAGTACGATGATGAGGAGGAGGACGACGAGGAGGAAGAGGAGGGGGGCAGGAGGATAAGGTGGCGTCCCTCTCCTCCCATTCACCGATGCTTGCCGCCACCGCTTCAGTATCAGATGAGCTACACTGTTGCGGTGATCGAAGGAGGGCTGGAGTACACCCATGATGCATCAACCATGGAAAATATGATCCACGAAGAGGAGCAGGACGAGGAGGACGAGCAGGCGGAGGAGGAGGAGGAGGAGGCGCCTGCGAGCAGGAGGATGAGGAAGGTAAAGGGGGAATGCGGGGCAAAGGAAGAGGAGGGGAAGATAGAGAGGGAGGGGGCGGGAAGGAGAGAAGGAAGGACAGGAGGTGGAGGCGGACGGGGATTGGAGGAGGAGGAGGAGGAGGAGGAGGAGGAGGAGGAGGAGGAGGAGCACAGAGGGGCCCATCCTCGTCGTCCGCCTCAGCGTTCCCCCTCCTCGTTCCCCTCTCACTGGTCCTTTTGGGTCCCCTACGTACTCTCCAACTGTTCACAATGCTGCTGCCGCTCATCCTCCGCCATCCCCCTACAGGCTCTTTCCTTTTCCGCGTGCGCGGGGGGCGAGGGGAGGGGGAGGTGAAGGGAGGCGGATGAGGAGGAGGAGGAGGAGGAGGAGGAGGAGGAGGAGGAGGAGGGAGGAAGGAGAGGAAGTTGGAGAGGGGGGGGGGGTTGGAGGAGGAGGGGGAGGAGGAGGATTCATGGAGGGAATGTGGAAAATGTGGCGTCCTCTCCCCCCATCCACCGATGCTTGCCGCCACCGTTTCAGTGCCAGTCGAGCTACATTTTCGCGGTGATTGAAGGAGGGCTGGAGTACACCCAGGATGCATCAAGCATGTTACAATATAGTCCAGTAGGAGGAGGAGGAGGAGGAGGAGGAGGAGGAGGAGGAGGAGGAGGCGCATGAAATCAGGAGGATGAGGAGGGAATGGGGGAATGGGGGAGATAGAGAGGAAGGAGAGAAGGTGGGACAGTAGGTGGAGGTGGAAGGGGATTGGAGGAAGAGGGGGAGGAGGAGGAGGAGGAGGAGGAGGAGGAGGAGGAGGAGGAGGGGGAGGAGGAACGTGCCTGAGGACGAGCAACAGCAGAATGGGCAGGAACAGGCGCAGGACATGTCACAACTCAGCACGATGTCTTTGTTCGCGACGTCGGAGGTCAGGGTCGGGTCAGGGGTCAGGGTTTCCTGCCATCGCTCAGCTTTAGGCGGCCGCTCGGTACGATTCTGGCGCCCATGGCACGCCCTGGACGAGACGCAGCTGCCGGAAAGCATCCCGAAGCCGGAAAGCATCCGAAAGCCACCGAGACATTCCGAAGACCTTTGTGCCTCTCCTCTTTCCCCCGTCCTCGCGCGCGCCCCCTTTTCCCCCATCCAGGTGCGGCCCATCGCCGCTACCGACGCGGACCCTCCACTGCCGCCTGCGGCGGGGAGCAGCGATGCAGGCCGCGACGCCGTCGGCGGCACCGATCTGTGGACGCTGGGAAATCAGGAGGGAAAAAACACACAGACACCATCAATCGTTGATTCCCCAGAAAGTATGGGAAAAGATGGGACGTGGTGGGGAAGACAAAAACCTAGAAAATATGGGAGAATATGGGGCATCCTGTGATTTGTGCGTGTGTGTGTGTGTTTATTTGTGTGTCCCAGGGCCCCTTCAGGAAAGGGGGGGGTCGCACCGGCGGGGGGGGGGTGCCTGGATTGCAAGGGGGGGGGGGGGCTTCCAACCAGGGAGGGCCCCGCTCCCCCTCAAAGGGGGGGATTCGAACCTGGGCCCCCTCGCCCCGCCCCCGAAGCGCAGAGGCCTGGAGGCTGTGGAGTTGTGCGGTTTGCTGCGCGAGACGTGCAGGCTTTCGCGCCTCATGGACTCCTCGTCCTCCTCCTCCTCGTCCTCCTCCTCCTCCTCCTCGTCCTCGTCCTCCTCCTCCTCCTCCTCCTCCTCCTCCTCTCCTCCTCCTCCTCCTCCCTCCTCCTCTCCTCCTCCTCCTCCTCCTCCTCTCCTCCCCCCCCCTCCCCCCCTCCTCCCCCTCCTCCTCCTCCCCCTCCTCCTCGTCCTCGTCCTCGTCCTCGTCCTCGTCCTCGTCCTCCTCCTCGTCCTCCTCCTCCTCCCGCTCCTGTTCGTCTGCCTGCTTCCCCACTTGCCGCTGCCGATCCTGATCCTACTTCGGGTTCCTCCATGTCCTCGTCTCTTCATGTTCTTCCCTTGTTCCTCCTCATCGCCGTCCTTAATATACCGTATCCTCTTCTTTCTCCCTTTGATGCTCCCTTTCGTCAGTTTACTGTCCCTTTTCTCCATCTCCTCCTCCTCCTCCTCCTCCTCCTCCTCCTCCTCCTCCTCCCCACTATCCTGTTTCGAAATTATCCTTTCTCCTCCTCGACTCTTCTTCTCCCTGCCCATGAGCCTCCTCAGCAGCATCCTCATCCCCCTTCTCATCGCCGTCCTCATCCTCCTCATTGCCATGAGTCGACTCATATCCATCCCCCCTGTGCCTTTTGTTCCCCCCCATTCTTGCTCGTCCGTCTCGTCGTCCTCATCCCCGTGTCTCTTCCACCGCCGCTTGCCGTCGATTGGACCTGCCTCTTTGGAGGCAGGCCACCGTCCTAGTCCCGGTCCTCTTGCTGATGGCGCGTGCTCCAAATCCCTTATTAATCGTCCCCCAGGTCCGGTTTTTAAAGCGCCTTTTTTGTAACCGGGGGGGGGGTCCAGTTTATGAGGGCGTTTTCTTTGGATTGGAGCTTAGGGGGGCCCGTTTATGAAGGCGCCCCGTCGAAGAAGGGGTTCCGGAAGATTAGGTCGCATTTAGAGAGGAGTCCGGTTTTTTAAAGGATGGAGTATCCTCCTTCTGGCCCTGGCCTCCCGCCAGCCCCGGCCTCCCGCCTGCGCGTTCGCCTTCGTCTGCTCGCTTCCCGTGCCCTTTTTTCTCCCCCTCCGTCGCCCGCGTGGCACAGCCTGCCAGGAGCCGGCGGCGGAACGCCCGTTCGAGTTGGGTTTCCGTTGGTTCAGGAGGGGCAAAACGCAGACACAATGAATCGTCGATTCCCCAGAAAATATGGGAACGTATGGGAAGTGGGGGGGGAGACACTCACCCAGAAAGTAGGGGAAAAGATTGGGAATACTTGTTTTTGGTGTCGATTCATTTGTGTGTCCCAGGGCCCCATCATTGGTCTTGTGTGCTCGTTCTACCCGAGCCGTGCTGCCTCTCGACGAGTGACGTCTCCCCCAGTGGTGGGGACTCCTCGGGTCGGGGGCAACGATAGGGGGGATAGGCTCAGGGGGGAACGCGCCGACTCCTAGTCGTTCGTTGATCGCCAACAGGGATCTGATAGCTTCACCCCGCTCGGGAACGTGCGGGCTTGCCATCGGGGGACCATCGCCGATCGATCGGCGATGTATCGCCGATTTCAGGTCGATTGCCCCCCCCCCCCCCCCCCCCCCCAGTGGAAACCCATGCCAGGAAACACTTTGCTTGCCTCCAGTGTGCCCTGGGTTTCTTGGGCCTAGACGGTTCCGCGGTGGAGAGCGTGACGTTCACACACGAAAGATCAGTGGGCGTCATGGGGTCTCAGGGTTGGGTTTCTTGTGGCAGGTCTCTTGTGGTCGAGCTCCTCCTGCATCGCTGCCCCTCATCAGGTCACGCGGCTCACCACAGGGAGACGGTGGACATCAGCCCCATCCAGGCACCGCCCCAGCCCTCGGCAGCGGCCGCGTCCTGGCGTCGATGCCTCCAGTGGCGGCCGCCGTCGTCAAATCCTTTCTCAGGAGGGGGAAAAACACACAGACACAAGTAATCGCCGATTCTCAGGAAAATGTGCAAAAATATGGGAAGTGGGGGGAAGACAAAAAACCCAAACTATAGAAAATGTGGGGAATCTTTTTATTTGTGTGTACTTATTTGTGTGTCCTGGGGCCCCTTCACTTTCGGGCGGGCGGTGATGGGGGGTGACCCAAATCCGGGGCGAAGAGACGGGTCCTGAAGGGGCACTCGAGGGCCCCTTTGGGCCCCTGCTGGCTCCAAAGGGGGCCCGAACGTGCCCCTGCAAGATCCTGGTCTTTACCCCCGATGTAGGTCACCCCCCCAATTACAGTCGAGGCGTTGACCTAAGGAACCCTAAATAAGGAACGAGGCCCCTATTTTCCATAAATTGAACTTCGATTTCGTATCGAAACACTGCGAAACAATTAAGGAACACGGAGCCCCTCCCCAACGAAAAGGGTTCCTTCTTCAGGGCCCCGACTGTACCACCCGCCCGATCCTTTTCAAATGCAGGCCCGTATGCTCAAGAGCTCCGCAAGCCCAATGTCAGCGGTCGGGGTGAGCGGGCCCGTAGACAGCGGCGGCAGACAGAGAAGAGAGGAATGATCGCACCGGGAATTTTTGCACCCGCCCTCGATCATTTGGCCTCATTGTCTGGACAGGGGGCCGCAGGGCCTGGGTGTACAGTGTGCAGATATGTGCTGGTCTCCTGCCGCGCCGTCTGCCACTCTGTGTGTGCGCGTGTGTGTGGGTGTGTGTGTGTGCGTGTGTGTGTGTGTGTGTGCGTGTGTGTGCGTGTGTGCGTGTGTGTGTGTGTGTGTGTGTGTGTGTGTGTGTGTGTGTGTGTGTGTGTGTGTGTGTGTGTCTGAGCTCGTGTCGCGGGCCCAGCGCTCGTCAGCGAGCCTGTGGCGCGCCGTCTTGACCGCCACTTTTGCCGGCTGCGGCCTCCGCAGAAGCCTCCACGCTCACGCAGCCATCGCAGAATAATAATAATAATAATGATAATAATAAGGTAGCCTCGCTGAGCCTCCAGCTTGGTGAGGGCGTCTGCAAGCTGCACAGACGTTTCGCACCACTCCAGGTCGACTCCATCTTGGGACGGCAGTTCTTGAAGAGCGGCGATGACCACTCGAGCACGGCGATCAGCGGTTTGGCCAGCGTCAGCAAGTGGGTGTGTCACCAGGCTGTTCGCATCACCGAACCACTTGACGGGGATCAGGGTCGCAGCATCGTTCACCAGGTCCACGGGAGCTTCTTCAGTGAGTCCCTGGGCTTCAGCTCCCATCGAGGTCCTCACAACGTGCTTGATGTGTGAACTCCCCAGTCAAAAAAATGCACTGATTCTTCTTGTCGGTTGTAGAGGCCCTCGTCGGTTAGCAAGCACACGAAACCCATTTGTGACTTCACCTCTCACCGAGTGCGCCCAGCGTGAGGTTGTCAACGTTGTTGAGGCTGCTGTCGGAGAAGACCACCGAGCGTAGATTTCCATCGTCTTGTACACAGTCGTTTCAGAAGCGTAGGCGCACCTCCCGCGTCTCTTGGCAGTAGTGCACGGGCTTGTTCATCTTCAGCGACAGCTGCACTGTGGCCTGAGTCTTCGGTTGGGCGAACCAGCTGTAGCCAAACGTTAACGGGACATCCATCCTGAGTTGTCTGGAGGGCCATCCAAGCGAGCCTAACGCTACTCTTGTAATCAGTAGCCAGCGCCTTGATCTGCTTCGCACGGGCAGGGGACAGCGTAACGGTCTCCATCGCGTCGATGACTTGGGTCGTGCTGATCTTGATCGAGTGGTCCTCGGCATGGTCGACGTCCTTACCGCAGTACCAGGACGGGGGCTTCTCCTCAGTCAGTGGCAGCACGTTCTTGAGCTCGTCGGTCGTTGTCTTTAACAGGACGCTGTTGTTGTCGCCAGTCGCGAACAGGTCGTCCACGTATGTGCCGAGGCGGCCGACAAGCTTCCCGTCCTCGAACAGGAGCAAGTAGGCGCGCTCCAAGCAGCTCTCCTGCCACGAGTTGCCGGTGATCGTCAGACGCAACTTGCTCCACCAATTTCTGGCGGCATCTTTGGTACCGTAGATGGCGCCATGGCAGACGACAAGGGATCCTTCTTGGACTCCGGATGGTGGTGGGGAGGGCGGCCGCAGCACCAAAATACGATCAAGGTCGTCTCCCTGTAGGTATGCACTCGTGGAGTCGAGCTTGAAGAGAGGCCAGTGCTTCCCAGCCACCGTGCTGCAGATCAAATGACAGAGTAGCGGCGAGGATGTAGGGGAGTCAGGTCGGACGTGGACCGATTCGTATCACCCTGCCGCTACAAGCCTGGACTTGGTCTTCAGGGGGAGCTTCGGGTCGTACTCATTCTAGTCAGTGTGGGCTCACCTCGATGGGCTGGGCTTGACCTTCACGATCAGCTCCTTCGCCGCGTCGCTGGTGACGACGGTCACCGCCCTGAAGTTCTTCCTGTCGTCCCACTCATTGGCCATGATCGCGTCGAACAGGACCCTTCTCCGCCTTGGTCAACTTCGCGAGTGTCATCTCCTTGCCCCTGGACCTTCGGTCAACCATGCGTAGTTGAGCCAAGCGTAGTAGATGTCGTCCGTGTCGTGCTCCACGAGGTAGGTTCCTCCTCACATGGGTCCTGGCCGTTGCCGCCTAGGTTGCGTCTTCCGGAGCCCGCAGGTCAGGGGGTCTTGCCGATCATCGTCTCGGGGACGTAGGTCGGGAGTGGGCGGCTGCAGTAGAGGTCTTCATTTCCAGCGGGCACCCCACCATCCAGGTCAGCATCCTCATCTTCATCAGGTACAGGTACTGCTGAGCTCGGTATATTGACAGTGGAGACCCATGCCAAGAAGCACCCTGCTTGCCTCCAGGGTGCCCTGGGTTTCTTGGGTTTCGATGGTTCTCCTATGGAAATCGTAACGCTCCCACACCAAAAATCGATGGACGTCCTGGGATCTCAGGGTTGAGTCTCTTCTGGAAGGTTTCTTGTGGACTGGTCCCTAGAGTATCAGGTGGTGGCCACCTGGAATCCCCCACAAGTCACCGCCGGGTTTGGGGACACGGGGTCACCGCCGGGCTCTGTGAATCCTGGGCCCACCAGCGTTCGGGA